AGAAGAAAAGAAGTCTTTGCACAAGGTTCAAGCTCAGGTCATTGGACCGTGAGTTGAGATTTCTTTTTCAGTTCTCGGGTTGACATTGGTTATTGCATTTCTATTATCATCCTCTCTTTAGATCACATTTTCAGATCCTTTCCCATTGCTTCCTTGTGAACTGAAAGCTGATATTTTCTTTCTTCTCATTTTTTCTGGGTGGAGTTGGGTTGCATTGATTACAGTAGATATTCTCGTATTCAGATGACAACTTCTCTTCACAGCTCTATTCATGAAAAATGTTGCTCTACAAGTTTCTAATGCCTCACATTTTCCTGGATTTGTCTATTATCTTTCCAAGAAAAGAAAATTTGTTCCAAGCTGGAGGTTGCTTTTTTTTTTTTTGCTCTGCGTTTCCAATGTGCTGTTGTGAAAATAGCTGAATAAGATAAGCCTAAATGTCACTGTATGTTGCACTGTGTTCGCTATCTGTGACACAGCTTGCATGTGCTGGCCTTTAATGTCTGTGTTGCCATTCAGCTTCCTTATTAAAGCCTTGAGTCACTCATACAATGAGGAAATGCCTTCCAATGCTTGCATTATCTTTGTGTACTACAGCATCAGTTAGCAGAGTGGAAAATATGTGAGACTGATGTAAAACGTGCCAAAGCAAGATTGAGGTGTTACCACTGGAAGGTAAATAATGTTGAATGTGCTGTGCTGGCTCACGCAGCCACGTGCTCATTCACTGAGCATGCAGAGCTGTCCTAAAACTCAAACCTAGATTTGAGACAGAAATGTCACAGATAAACTGAAGTGAAATGTGGTTAATGTGTGTTTGTGGTTGGTTTCATAAGTCATCATTGCTGGCTGTGAACACCTGGTCAGGATGTTTAACAGCTCCATTACTTAATCAACTTGTCTTGGTCAGTAACTCACATAAATAGGGCTAGATGATTTTATACTCTTGATAATGCTGACCTATGAAATGCATCTGTTATAGATACTTGTATTAAAAAGATTTTGCAGTTTTTAGCGGTATTTCTTTTAGGCTATCTAGTTAGCTGGAAACTGATTTTTACAAGGGCTGCAACAGTCAACACAGTGGTATTAGTTTTTGAATTTTTAAGCCAGTGGCATCTTTTCATTATATGTTAATCACCTTCTCTTTTCAACAATAATAATGCCCTGCATCTGACTTCAGAATTGTTGTGCTAAAGTTGATAAATAATCCTGAAGCATAATGAAAGCAGTAACTGCTGCTGAGTTGCCGTATTAATCAATGAACACTCTACAACACGGGCAACATATATGGCATGGCAAAGCATCGTAGGGCTAATTTATACTCCCACTACATATGAAAATAGATAGCTCTGTTGTAAACATCACTGCCCTCATACTTCCAACATCCTTTATGATGGCATAGATACGTTCAGTAGATGCGTTGTAGGTGGCGAGGGTCTGTGAGGCCGTTAACTACACTATAACATGTTTAATGACATGTTTGAATGCCTTTGTTGTCTCTTCTGGTTGTATCTGTCTTAAACTACGCTACACTCCCCACACGGTCTCTGGTGGTACTGCTACATTTCATCCATATCTGTAAGCTTTCAGAATACGTGCACAAATACGGATGAAATGAACGCAGAGTATGGACAGAAAGCTACATCCATGTCTGTATATGTGTCTAAAAATGAGCATAAATGAGGTCTTCGAGGCTAAAAAATCTAAAACGGGCAAAATGCGAACAACAAGTTTGGAGTAATTGGTTGGAGTGTCATGGTTGTGTATAGCTGTCTTTCCACCAACCAGTTCAGGATGGTCATTTTTATGTTTCCATTGTCCGAAGTTGTGGAGGGTACCAAGAAAGTTGCTCCATTTCATTTCTTCCATTCATCAATTTTCATCGCTTATCAGGGTCTGGGTCGTGGGAGCAGCAGGCTGAGCAAAGTATTCCAGACATCCCTGTCCCCAGCAACACTGTCCAGCTCCTCCAGGAGGATCCCAAGACATTCCCAGACCAGATGATATAGATAATCCCCCCCAGAGTGTTCTGGGTCTACCCCTGACCTCCTACCAGTTGGGCATGCCTGGAAAACCTTTAATGGGAGGCACCCAGAAGGATCCTGATCAGATGCCTGAACCACATCAACTGGCCACTTTCGATGCAAAGGAGCAGTGGCTCTACTCTGAGCTCCCTATCTCTAAGGCTGAGCCCAGCCACCCCACAGAGGAAACTCATTTATGGTTGCTTGTATTCATAATGTCAATCTTTTGATCATTACCCAAAGCTCATGACCATAGGTGAGGGTCAGAACTCAGATGGGCTGGTAAAAATGAGAGCTTTGCCTTTCAACTCAGCTCCCTTTTCACTGCGTTGGCACAATGCCTGCATCACTGCTGATACCATGCCAAACCACCTGTCCATCTCATGCTTCATTTTTACCCGCACCGTGGAGGACTCCATGCTGTCTCTCTGCGTCATTGCTGAAGAGGAAATTGAGTGAGAGCTAGATGGAGCAGTGATGTGGCTACTACCATCTGGGAACAACTCAGCCTACATTTGAGAGTACTGTCTGAGGTTAAACTGCCAAGCAGATCTAGGGTCTAGGTTCATGTCCGTATGGGTCACAAACGGTTGTAATGGTACTATACTGACAATGCTTGGCTGGAAATGCAGCCTATGACTGAAAGTCTGTCTAGGCCCTAGGGTATCCAGAAGCCTGCAATTTCACAGTGGCCTAGTTGCCAAAATCGTCCCCCAGCCTGGTGCTGTTGCTGTGGGAATGATGGTGATAGTTGTGTAATGTGTGGTATAGTTTGACTGGGGGCTGCGTGGTTTGAGCACTGGCTGGAAAACAGCAATGATTGGCAGGGAAGCACAACTGCTGTATGTGTGATTTAGTGCAGCATCTGTAGCATAACTGTTGGAACTAAAATGTATGGAATTATAAACCAATCAGTAGTTAACCCTGGCTCCAGTGGGTTAGGGCTAAGTGGTGTCAACGTGACTTGTACAGCAGAAATGTTGAATATATCAAATATTTTCTATTAATTAATAGATTATAATCTTTAGATTGCCTCTTCAGCTTAGACAAACAGCAGGATATGGATTCTTTGATGTTACAGCCCTTTACTCTGCCTGTTATGTCACGTGGCCTGGCCAGAAGGGCCTTTTTATTTGACCCCTTTCTTCATGTCTTTTCACAGCCAGGCTCTATTCAGGCTTTTAATTAAAGCCCCCACTAACAGCTCTGTGACGACACCACGCTGATGGATCAATGAAAGGAATAGCTGGCTTAATGATACAGTGAATGCTGCTGAAAAGAGAGCGGCTTTTCAGCAGCGTCGCATGTGGTATTTAAACACCAGGTGGATGGAAGCTAAACACGGTGTGCAGATCGCTCTCTCGTCCATCTGAGCATTCAGGTGATTTTTAGATTGGAGTGCAGGGCAGAGCAGACAGACAAGTGGTTATTTGAAGTGGAAAGATCATATTCTTCAATGAAAGAAGCAAAGATTATCATGTTTTCAGCAGCTACAGGTATAATTGCTGATTACTGCAGCATACAGCATGTTGGTGTCTCCAAATGCTGCTGTGTAATGGGTTCTACATCTCGTTTTATTAGTCCTGTGACCTTGACTAGCCTGCCAGCTCACATGATGTCACACTGGTTGTTAAAGTGCTCTCTGGGTGCTTGTATACTTTTGTTCTTAAATCCACAGGTTCCTTTTGTGAGCTTATCTCTGTAGGGAGCTTGTGTAGTAGCGAGGACACAGGCACATTTAATGCCCAAACATTTACTCCAGTGAACACTACAATCATAGCTTGTGTTCTGTGTTTTGCTCTTTCATCATAATGACCTAATATTAGTGCTGGACGATTAATCGAATTTTAATCATGATTTCGATTTTGGCTTCTCACGATCATAAAAACATTATAATTGAAGAAAAACGATTAATGCGCTGCACGGCGCGGCGTGTATGTAAGCACCGTGAATGCACCAGTGTTATGTGCAGCAGCAGCAAGCGTGTGACGTGTGTGGATCAATATGTGGAGCAAGCGATTGAGAACATGGCAGAAAGACAGCCTTTGGTTGAGAAGAAAGGTACACTGTAGGACAACTTCAGTCCTCTGGAAGCATTTTGGCTTCAAGTTGACGGACGTTGAGCTAAGGAAATTGTTTGCAAAGTTTGTTACGCTGTCATGTCTGCCCCCCAAGGCAACACGAGCGGAAAAAAAAGTCCAAAAAAGTTAATAACATACAAATTATGGCGAAAAGGTAGTTTCTTGCAACCCTAGAATTAAGATAAAAATGCATCCTAGAATTAAGATAAAAATGCATCCGTCTGCTTGCAGCGCAAGCAGACGGATGCACGACTCAGAGCAGCATGTGTCACTGACACCATCTCAGTGCACAGCGGACCAGTGGAAAATGTCACCATCAGCATATTATTTTACATAAATAAAATCCATTTTATCATTATTTTGAGTCACATTGTTGAAAGAATTTAGCTGTATGTGTTCAAGCAGGATAATAGGTCTCCATTCATTGCACGTCGGGCTTTCTGTTTCCTTGTTGGAGATGGTGTTGCGTTCAAGGTCCCCCCCCCAAAAAAATGGGAGAAAAAAAAGGCCGAATATTCGATTTTTTTTTTTTTTTTTTTCACAATCGAATCCCGTGCCATCAAACGAAGCTTCAAAGCTTTGAATTTTTTGGGTCAGCCCTAGTATTTATTTCTATTTATTGTTTTTATGGCTATTATTATTTTAATTTACTATTATTATTTTTATTTTTTTTACTTGTTTACTTGTTACTAATTTATTTCTGGCTGTTCTTTTGAGTTATATTTGAAGTTGAGTTTTGGTGGAGTTTTGAAATCAATGAATAATCGTGTTTATTAATTGTGATTTCAATATCAATCAAAAAAATCGTGATTATTATTTTTGCCATAATCGTCCAGCCCTACCTAATATCTTTGTCCTCCAGTCTAACTCCCCCTCTCCATTTGTCTCTCAGGAGCCTGTTTGCCCGGAGAGTGAAGGACAGTCGGCCAGTGGAGCAGAGGGATCCAGGGTGGAAGCTGTTTGGGAAAGTCCCACCCCGGGAAGCCCCAATTAAGGACCCAAAGAGAATACAAAAGGTAGAATCTTCATTTTTGGGATCACGGCATTGTCACATTATCAGTGCGTACCAGGAGACACCAGACAATCGCTCCACCTCTCACACAGTAAAGCTGCAGTGATCTTTTCCACACTTTAAAGTATTTTTTTGCCTTTTGTCACAGAAAGATGACTTTTCAGAAATCCATCTAAAAGCTGGGAGTAATCAGATGCCTTAAGAGATTTCCGAGCATTTTCTCAGATTGAGGCTTGTCTGTTGTTTGATGGAGCTTAAATGTGGTTTGACTCCAGTGTGTAGAGTTTCTCATAAAAGCATTAATCTATTCACTGATCTTAAAATAAGCTCCCTTATGCATACTGTCTTATTGTTTTCATAGCAACACGTGAAGCTCCGCTCAGCGGCGTGTTGTGTGCTATCCTAGATTAGATATTAGTCACATGAGCTAACAATAGGCTTGTTTGTTTCACAGACCATTTGCTTAGTTTTCAGTGTATACAGTTTGAGCCTATCACAGACAACATGGCTTTTAAGCAACCAATCCCCTCTGACTATGATACAAAAGAAAACTCTCAGCTATACAAAGTTACTGGAAGAAAATCAAACAATATGTATATATTTTTTACTTGATTTTAAAATTCTACTTACTTCCATTTTTACACCACATTTTTTCATTGTGTACCATTCCCACACCGTAGCCCCTTGTCGTTTATCAGGATCAAGATAAACTTTGTCCCTTGCGGGAAATTTGTTGTAGACAATCGTGCTACATAAGCTGCAAACAACGTAACAATTAAACAGACTCCCAAAAATGTCAGACAAACAAAAAAGGAAGGTCAGCAGTCGCAATGTCACAGTGTTACACAGTATTGCACATTTCCTGGGGAATTGCATCAAAATGATGCTATCATATGGATTTGGTTTATCTGGCCTTGTCAGTTGTGGTTTCGGCTCTTGCAGTTGGTCATGAGCCATTAGGGTCAGCTGCCTGACACACATTTAAATCCCCTGCACTATGTTGAACCTAATGGACAGCATCATTGACAGCAGCATTCGCCCTGTAATGCAGGCTATGATATTACCATGTTTGTTAGCCATCTTTAAACAGAAGTTTTAGGCTTGTTTGGCAATCATTTCAGTGCTAGATAGTATCACACTGAATATGACTTAAGTCTTAAACCCCAGATATTGAATATATTAGATGGATATTATTTTAATTGCATTAATTTTAAGTGTAGTTGGCTTTAACATTTGTTTAAAAACGCCATGAAACTGTGCTGCAGCAGCTTGTTTTGCAGAACAGCTGTTGTTCAAAGGTCATATGGATGAGCAACCAGCTTTTGGTGCAATAATGCCTTTTAGGGGAGCTTATCATCTACCGTGGGACAATAAAGACCAGCAAGTCCTGTATACCAACATTATGACTCATGATAACAATACCGACTGAAGTCTAAGACTCTGTTATGTAATGACTCTGTGGACGAGGACTTTTAAAATATCAGGAACATACTGTAACTGAGTACATTCTCAGTGGCGTTCTTGAATACAAAGAGCACAATGCCCTCAGCAACAGCACTCCCCATCCGTGACATTTAGGTTCTTAAGCTATTTTTAGAATGCCACATGCAAAGCCAACAGCCACATAGTGCTTTTTCCAACAGCTATTAGAAACATAATGGAAAGGGCTGGGACGAATAATTATCAAAACACAATGTATTTTTAGAAGAAGCATACTTGAACTACCTTACACGTGATTAGGTCTGTCACACTAGGATAATGATGCAATTTACAGCGAGTAGCAAAGCTGCACGTAGAGTTAGTCATGCTACGTAGTGGTGCCACTAGTTTAACTACATTTCCCAGTAGTATTCGGAGGCATATTCAAAATCATGTTGCTATTTTCATGTAGCCATTTCAAGATCTTGTAGCTAACAAACTACATTTCCAGAGCAAGCTGTTTCTCTACCATTTGCTATTAGATTACTTAAATAGCTTCATTGTAGTTAGCTACTTTTTCTGAGTAGGACCTGCTGGTTAGCTTCCTACTTTGAAACAAAATGTAATGTTGCTGTAGCTTGAGTGTAATTTCCAATGAGAAATAGCTTGTAGCTATAGTAGCTATTGTAAAGTAGCACTTAAAATAGAAAAGTATGAAAAGGACAAGCTGATTCTGTATCCTTGGATGGAAGAGTAAATAATTATTTGACATACACCAACAATAACAAATAAAGACAAAATACAATGGAAAAAGTCCATGTATATACATTATTTATGCTAAAATTAATTACTAGCCATTGATGACTTTCTTTTTAAACATGCAGGTGACAAGAATTGAACTATTTTCCTGCATCAGACTCTAATCCTTGTGTGGCATTTGCATGCCACGTGCATGTAATGCTGTGTTTGTGTTGCTCAGCAAGCTGAAATTCAAAATGTCAAGGTCTTTGAGAGCGCTTTGTTAGATAACAAGCTGGTGACTGAACGCTCTTATAATTTCCCACTGCCATTCAAAAGGCAGACAGGGAAGTGTCTCAGGGCCAATTAAAGAGCACGACATCTCCCCACTGGTAAAATAAACCAAAGAACAAGATGGCAGCTTGTAATTAGAGCCTGTAGGAGCCTGTTATTTTGCTTCCATTTACCCTGAGTCTGACACCGGGGAAGTAACACTCTTCTCTGTGCTCTTTGTGCTGTTGAAACCTGGTTGAAAGGCATTTTAATCTGTAGTTTCCACAGTTTACGTATCAGCCCTTTAACTTGTCACACATTATTTTATAATAGCTTGCCATGTTGGCTATCTGGCTGTGTTGGTTAGAAATTAGACCTCCAGGATTGACATGCTGGCTCCTCCACAAGTGCTGGTGTGCACACAAACACTCATTCACACATCCACATGTGCTTCATATCTGAAGTCCATCTCATCTGTGGTTGTAACCTTATATTGAACCTTGGGAATCAGATAACAAGGCTAGGCTTTCAAGCTTTTGTCTTGCCGCTGACGCTGCTGCTCAAAGGCGGGGTCACTGAATTCTCAGTGTTTGCGTGTGTGTGTGTGTGTGTGTGTGTGTAATGCTTTATTTGCCAAGGTTATTGTTCAGCTGCTACGAGACACATAGTGTGCTTTTTCCACCGGGGATGTTTCTCCTTTGAGAACAAAACTGTGAACCAAGTTTTACATTCTAATTTACACCACTTCAGTCTGGGGACTTCAGTGTATCTGGAGGCCACAGTACAATGTCTGCTCACAGTGAATTGCTGCCTGCTGAAGAAAGTTATTGTTCTGTTACCTGCTGAGTCTCTAAATCACATTGTGTGGCAGCCCTGGCATGTCTGAATTGCTGAGATCTGGGTGTGGGGCTGGATTAAAATTGGACAATATTCCCAGCAGGTGTTAGAATTTTAATTTGAAGTCATTTTAACACCTTCTAGACATAGATTAATGAGGGATTATGATAGCCACTACTGAAAGTTATGCGTAAATTGGCTAAAGCTCAGCTAAAATTGACATTTTCTGCTGATATTCAGTATATTCAAACTATTTTAATACCATAGAAAGATGATGATGACAATAAAGGAGCAGTGGTGTCTGATCAACATGTTTATATTAGAGTGTTCCATAGTTAACCAGGCACTATGGACATTAAATCAAGTGGATGTCATCATAATGATCATTATCTTAGAGGTTGCATTTACACATAGGTTACACCAGCAAAGTATCTCAGTAAGGTGTTGGTTCACCATAAGCCCCCAGAACAGCTTCAGTGCTCCTGTGCATAGATTGCAATTAAGGATGGGAATTAATAACACTTTATTGATACCACCCCTAATTATCTGTCCAATTCTTTATCAATTCCCTTATTGATTCTTGCTAAATTTTCTGTGTGGAATAAAACCAGGCCTGCACAGGTATTCAGCGTCAATGCAACTATTTTATTAACTCCATAGATACAGATTTAAGAGGGGACGCATCGGACTCAACCCCCTCACTATTCAGAACATGCATTTTGCGCCTCTTAATTTAATTTTTGATCATTTGATCATGAAGCCCTGTGTTACTCAACAATTCTCTGGTTCATCAGTTAAAAGTATGAACTAAAATAGTACTGAAGTCTCCACCAACAGTGTGACAGCTTACTCATATTAATGGGTTGAATGCTCATCACTTTAATGCCCATCAGTAGGTCTGCGTTAAATGCTCCTGGTGTATTAAATGACTGTATACTCACTGCGCTTCATTTTTATAATACCTGCATCCAGGCACCATCTCATCGTCACACAATACATCACAACTACCAATTAGTATAATGATGCGCTAACGAGTCACCTGACAAACAAGCACACAAACCCGCACCCTCATAAAGCTGGGCTTTCAGTGCTAAATCAGCAGCACACCTGCTAAAGCATCCGCTGCACGACATCATCATACTAAAATCCTGTAACCCTTCTTCAGTTTCGGTTTAATTTCCAGAACTATAGAAAACTTTTACTTTTGCCACTGCTACTTTAGCTTTACTTCTCTCTGGTTGGCAGCATTATCAATTAAAGTCAGGGTCCCCACGGTCATGGAAAACCTGCAAAAGTCAGGGAATTTCACAGTCACATTTTCCAGGCCTGGAAAAGTCATTGCATTAGTAAAAATGATTAAAAGCTTGTGTGTACGGGAATTATTACAGTAATTTCCCGTAGATAACTTTCCATGTAATGTAACATAACAGCAGATTTATTTTCTGTAGCTGTTGACGTAATGTAGCTCTAATTGTTTGACAGAGTTTTGTTTGCCATCACACACGATTCTTCATTTTCTCCCCTTGTTTCATCTCTTCCTTCATGAATGCCAGCTAACTGAAAATTATATAGGACTATAGTAGGGCAGTGCTCTTCTGGACAGGGACCTCAGATGTTGTACCTGGAATCTGCTGGAGCCACTCTCCCAGTTTGGGGGTCACAGCCCACAATGCTCTGATTACCACTGGCACCACTTAACTCCCAACATCTTTTCTAGCTCCTCTTACAGCCCTTGGT